AATCTTTCTGAGAAGCTAAGTTGATTATGCAATAAAATCTGTTTGCTTGTGATTATTTTTGGAGATACACAATTTTTTGGGACTTAAAGGAGAATTAATTGTAAGACTTTGTTTACAGAAAGGTTAACTTGTTTAGCCTTGTTCCTTTGGGCGTTCTTTCAAATACGTAGTTCATGAAAATTATTCATGATACATCTAACTGAATTTTCATAAAGTATATGCAGAGATTCACAAGTGGAGACCTGCCACTAAACATTATTTACAAAGCATAAAACCACAAAGCTTATGGAACACCCTTCCTATGACTTCTCCCTGATGCGTTTTATAATATAAATGCTCGTTGGGGGAAGCTTTCATATCAATAAAATGTCACAGAGAAAATCATTGCTTGCACCATTCTTTTCTTTGTAGTTATAGGTACTACTGCATATCACTGCATCTGGATATCTTTTCTCAAGAGTTAGCTTGAAGCGTATTTCTTCATTGCTGGTTCTTTTATTGTGATGATCCTAAAAGGCAGAAGATATCCATCACTTCAATCTCTTCATTGTCAATTCAAAGGCTGGTTGCCTTTGTTGCTCTCATTATTAGTTTTTTTTTGTTTATATTTCACCTTAGTCCCATTTTTTAACTGCACTGTTTGACTTTCAATCCTTAGAGCCTGAAGATCATTTGCATTTTCAGCTCTTCCGGTGGTGTCATCACCATAGCCATTGATTTTCTTCCTCCAGTGTTAAAATCACACTCATCTCTTCTTCCAGTGTTAACTCATAATATACTGAATAAAATAAAAAAAAACGTAGAACAATGTCTCACTCCTTTGTTGACTTGGAGCTAGTCTGCTTCACCGTGTAGTGTCTAGACTGTGGCTTCCTGCCCTTTGTATACGTTCTATACGAATACATGAGATGTCCTGAGATTCCTGTTTTTTAACCACATTCTACACTTTAATGTCACCGTTGAAGAACTTTCTATAATCAATGAAGGAAACATTTATTACTTTTCCATAATTCCAATTACTCAGCATCCATCAGCAATAATATATTGTGTTCCCGTCTGAACTTCTGGCACATCTTTTCCCATGCAAGGTTTAGATCTGTGTTGGAAGACCTTAGAATTATTTTGCTAGCTTGTGAAATGAAGATAATGAATGACCGCTCACACCCTCTGTTGACTCTTCTTGTGACACTGGTGTGTAGACTGACCACTTCCAATCCGTTGGCCATTGTGTCATTCTCTAGATTTGCAAAGTTGCAAGTTTTACAGATTCTTAATACGTATCTGTAGATATTCCATAACTTCCTTCTAAAATATATCTGAACCCTAGAAGGAAGCTAGGCAGCATCTGGATACAACATTTATCTACATTCCATGACATAAGTAGGTCTAAAAGACTTGGGGATCCTGGAAGTTGAAGTCCACACATCTTGAAAATGGCCAAGTTTCAAAAACAATAGTTTAATGCTTGGCATAAACCCCAGGCAGTGTAGTGTAATTAATATGCAATAATAAAAAGGCATTTGCAGCTTGATGAATTCAGGGGCAACAAGTTTGGATATGGATGTCAATTTTGATGAACTCCAGCTTTGTACAGTATTGCACGGTATGGGTTAAGTGGGAATTGTGAAGAGTACTGAGAAAGTGGAAGAAAAAGAGCTCCAAATCTTTTTTTGTATGGGTTATGATGCTGTTTGCTTTCATTCATTATGGAGGTGCAATCAAGAACTCTTCCTAGATATAATATTCCTTATCATAAGCTTTTTTCTCCAAATCCTCTTGTCCACCCACAAGGTTGGGAGGCTGCGCTTGCTCAAAATTGGAACATATTTCCTTTCATCCATAAATATTTCATAAAGGATCCAGAGACATTCCTGCTTAAGCGGTGGGGGGGGGGGGGTTGGACTAGAAGACCTCCAAGGTCCCCCTTCCAACTATAATTTCATTTTTTACAAGGCGGAGAAACAAAACAACAGCCCTTGATGAAGGATGAGGTCGGTTATTTTATTTTTGTATTTTTTTTTTAATCTAAAGAAAGGGGTATCCAACGTTGGCAACTTTAAGCCTGGGGAATTCTGGCAGTCAAAGCCCGCCAGGTTTAAGGTTGCCAATGTGGGAGAACCCCGCTTTATACTGTAGACCAGGGGTGTCCAAGCTTGGCAACTTTAAGGCTTGTGGACTTCAACTCCCAGAATTCCTCAGCCAGCT